AAAAAAGTAGCCTCAAAAAGCAGTATAAGTTAAGGATAGTATAAATTGATATTCATGAATACAGTTGAGTTCAAACAACGCCGATTTGTCCACTGGATGTAGAAAATGAAAAAACAGGAAAATTTGGGGAAAAAATATCCCTATTGTGTCGTTTTCTTATTTTTCTCTCAAAACAAAATACAACATTTTGGGTTTTTATAAGGGAACAAAAAACAAATACCACTAGTGTTGACTGAGTGGTTTGACTAGAATAAAAACAAAGGAAAAAATACCTATACATTCTACACACACCCCTCAAGTGGGATGACAAATGGAATTTGTCAGTCCCAACTTGCCAACTATAACTCGAAAAGGATGACCCCCAAGTGACTTCGTAAAGCCATCAGCAACTTGAAGAGAATAAGGAATGTAACAGGGAAGGAGCAGCCCTTCTTTGAATTTGGTCCGCACTAGATGACAGTCGATTTCCAAATGCTTGGTACGTTCATGGAAAACCGGGTTCTCCACAATGTGAAGGGCGGATTGGTTGTCACAATGCAAAGGAATAGGGAGATGCATGGGAAGCTGAAGATCTTGAGAGATGTAGACTAGCCATTGCAGCTCACATGAAGTGGCACTCAAGGCCCTATACTCTGATTCAGCTGAAGATTTAGAAACTGTAGTCTATTTCTTGCTTTTCCAAGAAATGAGAGAGTTGCCCATAAAAATACAGAACCCTGTTAAGGACCTTCTTGTGTCTGGGCAGGTGCCCCAATCAGCATCACAGTATGCTTTAAAGTGGAAATCAGTGGACACTGGATAAAAAAGTCCCAAAGAGGGAGTGCCTTTCAAATACCTCAACACATGCATAGCAGCATCCCAATGAGAGGAATAAGGATCATTAACAAATTGGGATAATTGTTGGACGGCAAAGAAAATATCAGGTCTGGTGAGGTTCAAATACAAAAGCCGGCCAACCAATCTCCTGTATAATTCACCCTCAAGTAAGGGACTGCCAACTTGCCCTTTCAAAACCAATCCATGGGGAAAAGGAGTAACAGTTGTTCTGCAGTTGTCCATTTTAACATCATGCAGCAAATCCAAAATGTACTTTCTCTGATTCAAAAAAGTGCCTTTATCTCCTCTAGCTATTTCAATTCCCAGGAAAAACTTAGCAAACCCCAAATCTTTGATAGTGAATTCTTTATCCAAATAAGCTTTGAGATCATCTATTAATTGTAAACATGGCCCCATGATCAAGACATCGTCAACATAGACTAGGAGAGCCAAAAAATCATCACCTGAACCCTTTATGAACAAACAATGGTCATTGTTGGACTAAGCAAAACCATAAGACAACAGCTTTTCACAAAACTCTTGATTCCATTCTCTGGAGGCTTGTTTAAGCCATAGAGACTCTTTTTAAGCCTACACACCTCACCTACTTTCTATTTGGTATACCCCTGAGGACACACCATGTAAATTTCTTCCTTTAAGCTACCATGCAGGAATGCATTATTAATATCCACTTGACAAAGTGGCCAACCTTTTGCTGCACTTATTGCCAAAAACAATCTCACAGTAATTTATTTTGCTACAGGGGAGAAGCAATCGATGTAATCAACACCATAAACTTGTGTATACCCCTTAGCTACCAGTCTAGCTTTGAATCTATCTATAGTGCCATCAACTTTTCTTTTCACCTTATATACCCATTTGTTTCCTATGGGTTTCTTTTCTTCTGGTAATTGTACTAAATCCCAAGTCTCATTCCTTTCCAAAGCATCTAGTTCCTGCTGCATTGCCTTAACCCATTCAACAGTAGCCTTAGCTTGAGTGTAAGATACAGGTTCTTGGATTACAGACACATTATGTAAAAAGGCAAGATAATTGTCAGTATAAGAGGCAGTCTTTGTGTATGGTATGGAAGGAGGATCAGAATCAAGTAAGGTGGATACCATAAAGCCTTGCTCCATGGCAGCAGATGCAAGATGAGAATCAGAATAACAAGTAATTTAGTCATTAAGCCAAGTTGGTTTGGTTTTCTGTCTCACAGGTCTAGTTTGAGGTTGAAGAATGGAAGGGCTTGTTTGTGGTGTAGTCAATGGGTTAGGTGAATCTGTATGATGGTCATCCACAGGTATATTGGGTAGAGGAACACTCACATCTGGAGGAACAATATTTTGATGGTAGGGAAAAACATTCTCTGAAAACTACACATCTCTACTCACTATGATTTTCCCAGTATCTATGTTGAACAGCTTGAATCCTTTTCTCCCAGTTTCAAAACCCAAAAACACACACTTATGAGACCTTGTAGTGAATTTGGTTTTATGTGGTTCAATGTTGGCTGCAAAGACAAGACAACCAAAAGTTCAAAAAGGAATAATCTGGAACATTTCCATAGAGAACTTCACATGGAGTTTTCCATTTTAAGATAGAACTGGGAAGTCTGTTTAAGATGTATGTGGCAGTGAGCAATGATTCTGGCCACAGAAACATAGGAAGTTTGGAATGAAACATAAGGGATCGTGCAA